TATGAAATGCAAGGAACAGTTGCTGTTTCAATAGCGCCATCAATTGCCGCGTCTTAAAGTTATTACGCTATCGACGCGATATGACGTCATGACATTTTTTACGATTTATTTATTTTAGACTGAGAATTGCAGAGCGTCGAGTGTGCTTTTTCCTTCAATATATATATATATATATATATATATATATATATATATATATATATATATATATAAATATATATATATATATATAAATATATATATATATATAAATATATATATATATATATATATATATATATATATATAAATATATATATATATATATAAATATATATATATATATATATATATATATATAAATATATATATATATATATATATATATATATATATATAAATATATATATATATATATATATATAAATATATATATATATATATATATATACATATCCACACACACACAAACACACACACATACACATAAACATACACACATACACATATACAACACATACACACACACACACACACACACACACACACACACACACATACACATATATATATGCAAGTAACTCACTGTAGGTGCAAGGACTACACTCAGGGGTGAGTACTCACCCTGAAGATGTGAATTACACGAAAGCGCTTGGGAACTTTTTGTGTTTCTTTTTCTTTTCCTTAGAAATATCAGTATATACATACATACATACATACATACATACATACATACATACATACATACATACATACATACATACATATTATATATATATATATTATATATATATATATATATGACTAATAATACATAATAATATTAATTATTATAATTCATGTTAATTTTCATGGTAATGTTAATACAGTATTTGCATGTAGCATGTTAAATGGCATGTTATACTGTGATACATGAGTAACCATGACACCACTTGAATTTTTGGTTTTGTTTGTTTATTTCTGTGAACATAAACAATACGAATGCCTTTTTATAGCCAAGAACTCTATTGGAGACAAGGTCATTTATCCCCAAAATTTATGTAACAGCATGACAAGTGATTCATCACTTGCAGTAATTGCATGATAATTGTGCAAGAGAGAAGATTTTGTGTCTTTTAATTTCTGGACACATCTAAGATTTTGAGGCAATGGAGTCAGTGAAAATTATACAGTCAGGTTTTCATTCTCTCTTTATATGTATACATACATGCATACATAAATGAAGATTGATATGTCTAAAAATAATGGAAAACGTAAAATATAACACTCATGACGTCACGAATTGCTTTTGGACGCAGCCAATAGATAGCTACCAGATTGTTCAAGATTTGGAGAAAGGAACATGTCAAGCTGATCTCGCGCGCCAGCATGGAGTGAACGAATCTACGATTCGTACTATTAAGAAGGATGCAGCCAAGATCAAAGAGCACATGACAATCACAAAGTCTGCAGGTGCTTCAATGATGAAGTATTCCCAGAACAAGGTGCTGCTAAAGGTGTAAAATTTGCTGGTGAGTTACTTGATTCGTCAGGCGCGACGCAACATGACGGTGGACACGCGATCCGTTCAAGAGTACGCACGTGAACTGTACACAGCAGTGTCACGTAAGATGGGAATTGCAGAGCCCAAGCCCTTCAATGCTTCCTCTGGTTGGCTGCATAGGTTTAAGAAGAGAAACAAAATCACCAACATCAACATTGGTGGTGAAGAAGCGAGTGCTGACCGTGTGGCGGCTAGAGATTTTCCTCCGTTCTTACGTGAGGTTATGGAGGAAGGGCAGTTCACTGACGACCAGGTATTCAACATGGACAAATCCGGCCTTTTTTTGGAAAAAGCTACCTACCAAGACCTTCGTTGTCCAGTCTGCCAGCAATGTTCGGGTTCGGAAGTTGCAGAAGGAGAAAATCACCGTCCTCTTTACCACCAATGCCTCCGGTACCTGTAAACCAAAGTTATCGGTGATTCACACAGCCCGCAAGCCGCACGCCTACAAGAATATGGACATGAACAAGCTTAATGTCCACTGGCTAACCGCACGTAAGGCGTGGATGTTCTCTGTTCTGTCCCTCTCCTGGTTTGACGACTGTTTCGTTCCAGACGTCAAGAATTTCTGCGAGCAACAGAATGTTCCATTCAACATTTTGTTGCTCCTTGACAACGCACCAGGACACTCGCCCCTACTTATGGATCGTCACCCCAACGTAAAAGTGGTCTTCCTTCCTCCCAACACTACGTCATTAATCCAGCCCATGAACCAGGAGTTAATCTGCAATGTTAAAGCTGCATACTCGGCAAAGAAATTCAAGCTCCTGAACGACTCTACCAACACCAAGGAGGAGTTGCGTAAGCTGGGCGACACCGACAGCGAGAGTAAAAGCGATGAGGACAAGGAACAAGAGGTGGTGACTCAAGAAGTTCTCGTCAAACAGTTTTGGAAGAAATTTAACGTCAAACAAGCTGTAGATTTCTTGGAGTCATGGGATCAGCTGTCTATTGCTACGATTCGTCACGCATGGAGGCATGTGTTGCATGGCATACCAGGTGAGAGGAGGAGTCAACCTGTGACTGGTGAGGTTCAGACTGTTGCAGTAGCAGTGGACCTTGCCAGAGAAGCTGCGCACAGTATTACAGCTGAAGGCTTCTCCGAGACCACCAACGAAGACATCCTGGAGGTGATCAGAGATCCTGAAATGACTGCCGACGAGATGTTGGAAGATGACCGCTATGAAGTCTTCCATACCCGGCTGGTGCAGGCTATGGAGCCGTACATCAAGGTGTATCAAGACAACATCAACACTAGCCGTCAAAAAAACATTACCGAGTTCTTCGCCAGCAACCCACCACAGCCAGCCAGAGCCAGTGATAGTGATAATGAAGGTGACTCTGAGGGATTTGTCAGGGAAGCCCTGACAACTGTAACTGATAGTGATGCACCTAGTATGATTCACCTGAGGGCCAGTAATCTGCCCTCTGCCTCGGAACCAGCCTCCATCCCCGTATGCCGACCCATCTCTTCTTCTAACATAAGTGTTACACCTAACTTTTAGTTTTCCTAACCTAACCTTTATTTTTCCTAACTTAACCTTTATTTTTCCTAACCTAACCTCTTCTATATAACTTGTTTGTGCATACCATCATAAAGTTAAGATAAAATTTTTACTGCAACATAGTTGTGTGTCGTCAAAAAGTGGAGTTTGGGGGTCGGGCCAGTCTCTATTGGAATTAATCCCATATGTTCTGTTGTTCCATTTACGCGGATTTCACTTAACGCGGTACCCTGTGGGTTCAATTGACCGCGTAAATCGGGGTACAACTGTGTGTATATATATATATATATATATATATATATATATATATATATATATATATATATATATATATATATATATATATATATATATATATATTGATCTAGTAGTAGTCAAATATGCTTATCCTTTCGATATTGGTCACATATCTATAGCTCTTACGAGTGGAAATACATACCTACTTTTGAAAAAGTACTGTTTTTAAGTGCTTTGAGGTGCACCTGTTATCAAAGTCTTTCTACAATATTGATAAGTCATAAAATGTAAGCTGATCTGAAGGAGAGATTAATTATATGAGGATATATTCGGTTTTGTAATATGTATTATTAATGCAAAATAAAGTTGATTGCTTGATTGATATAGGTCTATAGTAACATACGTATAGAGCTTACTATAACTTCATGTGTAAAGTGTGATGTGGTGGAGTGGATGAAGAGGAATACACTAAGGCGGTATGGACATGTGCCGAGGATGCGTGAAGACAGGCTGACAAAAAAAGTTTGTGATAGCAAGAGAGAGAGGGGAATGTTGGGAGGGGTCGACCAATTGCCACCTGGGAGAAAAGAGTTAGAGTTTGTTGAAGAGAGAGTGGGAAGGGGAGAAAAAGTGTTTGAGAAAGCAAGCGAGGTGTGCAAGGATAAAATGGCCTGGAGACATTTCTGCCATGGCCACCCCCCGTTGGGGAGTTCCCGGGAGGGAACAGGCGTCGGCGATATTGATTAATTGATCAAAACAGATATGCCGGAGCAGCACTCCAGTGAGCTCCAGCAGCACTGCACCCCTGATTATACATCATCTTTTTTTAATGAGGATTAGCCCACCCAGACATGGTTCAATGACCCACATTGGTGCCTGAGGAGGAGAGGGGGGAGAAATAAAAAAAAATTATATTAATAACAACAGTAATAATAAAATAAAAATTATAATAAAAATATAAAAATTATATAAAAAATAAAATAATAATAGTACTGTAGTAAAGAACCATAAAAACAAAAACAAAATGATCAAGAGCAAGAAACGATATGCAGTATTTATGTTGTATTGTCAAACTAAGACACACAATTGAGACCCTGCAATTGTATGTAAATGAGGAAGAAAGGCAGATCAGTAACCTGGGACTTGGTCACAATTTTTTTGATGCCATATGGCAGCAGGGTCTACCATGAGACAACACATTATGCTTCCAATATCTTCCCAGGCAGTAGTGCCTCCCTGTTTGATAGCTGCCTACTACAGTACTGTACCTACTAAATAGAATACATTAGTTATGTCTATTTATCTAAAATGTATTGGTATTCACCATGTTGTAATTCACTTGAAAGATCACTAAATTGTATATTCATTGAAGTACAGTATTATATATTTATTTCAAAGGAATATTCACCAGCAGAGTTTTGAAACCTCCATAATTGTGTGTTGACAGATCTTCATGCCCCCATATTCATTGAGCATAGTCAGTACCAGTGCAAAATTTGATTTTGAATACACTACCACTGGAAAGGTTTCCAAAACAAAGTATAGGTGTCTACAATACCAATGATTCAAAACAAATCTATGCTGGATGCTGTCTCACCTTTATCCAACCAAAGTACTTGAAGTTGGTTTTGGAATGTCCCCTGCTCAACCAAGTTACAAGAGTTTTTGTGCACAAATGTCAGTGTAATATACCAGTAACAGCAAACCTTCCACTGTACAGTATAAAAATTGAATAATGTTGTTTAAACTTTCATTTATTGGTGATGGAACATTTGTGTGATATACATGTCCACAGTGAGGTATACAGTGTCATGATACATTGACAAACTGCCAGCTGCTCTCAGATACATCCATCTCACACCATACAGTATACCCTTACTCTCTTAATTTGTCTTTTATATCTGTATTATTGTGCACTATTTTCTTTATTCATAAGGTACACTAGCTGGTAATTTCATAAGATTCTGTTAAACCAAAAAAATTAACCCCTTAAGCTGAATAAAATTGTCTGGCTCTGGCAAAATTAAATATCTTAAGTGGCCTTCCCATAATGAAGAGATTAGTGGAGATAGTCTACGTACCAACCCCTTGTGTGAAGGTTCCTCTCTGTGCTGAATAAAATCATCTGGTGCTAGCCAAATAACATATTCTAAGTGGCATCCATGTAGTGAAGGAGTTGAAGGCTGAATATATATGCACAGTACAGTACTGTAAGTCCTCGCTTAAAGTGGTGGTTCCGTTCCTGAAAACCATGACGTTAACGGAATCAATTTTCCCCAGAAGAAATAGATAAAATATGGGAGTTATGTTCCCCAGCCTCCCTTTACCCCACAAAATACATTACGCATATATAAATTCAATGAAATTTTTATAGAAAATAGTATTTTTGTTCAATCCATAATGCGACGTCTAGCTTTATACCTAGGTAAGTAAATGCCTAGCATTAACTCGCCAGGCCAACATACAGGCAATTAAAACATCTAATAATTACTTAAATACGTAATATTAGGACACGTCGCTACCTGGCATTTAATTGCAATTCTCAAAACCCCCTCCATCACATGCACTGCCACCGTCATCTCTTGCCTTAGAGCGAGCAGTAAACAAAAGTCAACTCTCGAGGGGTGGAGTTGGGTGGGTTGTCGACGTCACATTCTGGACTATATCACAAAAACTTTTTTAGAAAAAAACAGCATTTTGTTCAATCCAGAATGCGACGCCTAGCTTTGAATACACGAGCAGGAGGTGGAGAGGGAGGTGACTTTGTGTATAAGGCTCCGCTAGCTTAGGTCCAGAATATGATTATAAACTATTTGGAATATTTTCCAATATTAGGAACATTTACCGGAAGGTAAAATGTTAATTTACATATCCCAATTAGGATACTCACTTTATTCTGATGAGGAAGAAGGTCCTGGTTGCGGAGATTGACTAGGTGGGGGAGAGGACCACTTTACCCCATAAAATACATTAAGCATATATGAAGTCAATGAAATTTTTATAGAAAATAGTTTATATTATACATCCAAAAAGGTAAATAAACTATTTCATTTTGTATTGTACTCACTGATTGGCGTATATGAAGCAAGTGTGTGGTGGGGAGTGGAGAGGAAGAGGGTGGGAGAGGAGGAGGGTGGCGAGTCACTGAGAGCCGGAGGGTGGTTCCTCCTCCCGCTGACTGGGTGATGCGCCATACAAAGTAGTCCATGGCGTTATACTGAATTGGCGGGACGTTTTCCGAATCAGGGGTATCTAAAGAGTATCGACGTTATAACGAAACAACATTGTCAATTGCAACGTTAAACGTGGACTTACTGTATATGAAACACATTTACTGTATTTCTTAGTTTTAACTTCTCCCCTAATTTCAAATAAAAGCTAATAGGTATTGGTAACTTTATTTTTTCTTTGAATAATATTTGTATTACAATCTAAACAGAAATGTGATAAAATTCATACGAATGCAAATCTATTAAATCTACATAAACTGTCTAAAGTCTATAGTTACAAAACTCCATTTTGCGAATGATTCAAGTATGATACAAAAGAAACTTGATATTAAAATGAATATCATTATACACATGCCTCCACTATCTCGACAAAGATTTATACCTAACCGCCTCTAACGGGACGAAGAGGATTGTCATAAGCCCAGATTGCACACACTTTGTGTACATATGCTTTAATATAGTTATGACAAACACTTAGAAACGCAAGTGAAAATAGATTGAAAATAAAACACCAAAATCTTCTTCAAAATATCGCATCAAAGAAAACGTAAATATTGACACGGGAACACAACCGCCCAGCTTGACCATAACAGTACTAGTAATTCAGTAGTAGAGGTTGATAAGATTTGTATAAAATGTAACTATGAAGAAAAAAACCCCTGGCAATTAATAGAAGACCTTCAACTCTGATTAAGTGTTTGGGGTAATGGATGTTTGGTTCACACTCAGGATGGATGGAGAAAGGAAACTCACAATGTGCTCTCATGTATACATGTTGTATTGATGTACAATGCAGCTTGGTGCTGGGAAGTGGCAGCGTGGTTACAAGCGTGATGTAGAGAGAGCTGGTTGGTGAGGATGCTCAGAGGAGGACCAGCTTGTGGGTCGCCATGCTCGCCGGCGGAGCGAGGACCAGGCAGGCGGAGGAGGAGGTGTTGCTGGCTGGTTGGGTGTGGGTAGAAAGAGACAGGTCACCACGAGGTCAGGTCTTAAATAGCGGGGTAGGCGTGGCTTAGTAGTTGACCCTCGCTCCGCGATGTATGGCGGCGCTCGTTGACCCAGACCACGAGTCACACACTGTGGAATTCGTGGGGTCGGCTACGCAGCGACAAACAGCGTTTGTAGGGAGAAATCCACTACAGTGTCCCGGTCAACTACAGGTAGAGGCCGTGACAAAGTATCTCTGTTTTTAACACAGTAATGAAGCGGTCTTACTTTGTCAAATATTAAGTTTGTTGTGACGTCCTTTTTGTTGGTATGTGTTACTGATTTTATCAGTATTTGTTGTTGAAACTTATAAAGCAATTGGATTTTTTATGAATGTACTAAATGATTATTATGGCAGGTATGGATTTATTTGTTTTTAAAATAAAGTTTTCATTTAATTTACAGTTTTCATTTTCTGCAGCGTGTATATTATTCTCATTTGTCATCCTGGAATAAACTTACACAAAATTTAAGTATACCTGGGTGGGTCTGCGCAACACTAGTTCCAGAAATTAAATAGTTACCTTATTCATGATACGTTTTCTGTAATTGTTACACGAGTGGTATGTTTTCTATGGTTAGTATGCCTCGAGAAATTTAGTAATTCTACACCTCAATTCAAATTTTCAATTTCAATTGCTTATTCCTTGATAGAGGAAGCGGGATCCTAGTGCTGTCACTAGGTACCCCTGTACAATGACGCCAGAAGCATCTGGCAAGTGTGACAAGTACATACAGTATAAATATTATAAAGGGGCTTACTAAAGCCTAAGGAAGGAAGGATATTCCTTTAACACATAATCAATATTATTTACAAAATATCTGGCGGCCAGTATTGGGAGGATCATCGTGTCTCCGTCAGGGGGTCGTGGAGTGGTGGTCCAGCAGGCGTCACGGAAGCGTTGTGTGTGGGGACATCTTAGGAGGTAGTGAATAAGGGTGCTGCTGTCGGGTCTTCTGCATAATGCACAAGAGCGTTGCTCAGGGGATGCGGGGATACCAATCTCCCAAGCAAAGTCATACCCAATGATGATACGGGCAGCAATCACGTCCCCTTTCCGCGACCCTTTCCCGTAGACGTACGAGAGGTCAGGAAGTTTACGGAGGACATCGTACCAGGTGGGCGGGGAGTCCAGGGGGATGGCTGCTTCCCGAGCTTCTCTCTGTTTGCTGCGAATTTGGGTCCAAATCTGTAAGAGTGTTCGAGGAACAACGTAGTCAGGTGTAGCCTTGTTGCAGCCAGTCTTGGCAAGGCCATCTGCTGCCTCATTTCCCATTCTACACCTCTTTTTGTAGAAACTACAGTGGCTTTAAATTTCCCCAAGAACTTTGGCAAACACAAGGAAAGTATTTCCATGATTCACGAAAAAATCAAGCCAAACTGATATGCAGCATCAACGTCCTTTGAGTCAACATTAATACCCTCATAAGTTCACCCTACCCACATCTGTCTCGACCCAAGAGTCGAACCCAGAATAGAGTGGTGAGAGATAGGCGCGTTACTGCTCAGTACCAGCAAACACCCTCAGCACCCGCATCATTGTATAATTATTCCGGAAAAAACTGCCACACTAATGTAGTACAGATACCGCAGTAGTCGGCCACGACATTCTCCCATTTCTTTCGCTACAATTCGAACTCACTCTAGACAACATGTTTTCGGATCTGCAAGATCCGATTACAAGTCTATTGTGCATTGTAGATGTTCCCACTGTTTGTCTGCATTATACTGGGAGTCAGCCAACCGATGGTGACTGTTTGTTGTTGGATAATAGAAATATAATCTTCAGAAGCTTTCGGTAGTGGCACCATCTCTTTTGGTGGATAGTCTGTACACCGCAAAACAAAAGTTGCGTCTTCCAGCATCTTTGAGAATTCTGCTTCTGAAGACCCTAAGAGGTCAGCAACAGAACTTACTGCTTGTACAAGATTAAATATGACATTTTGTAGGACACGAGAGAAAGGCACCATAACAGCGGACACCCTTTCGAGAATCAGCACCGTGAATTACTTATAATATTTATTTATAATTCTATAAATTTAAATTCGTATTCATAAAAGAAGCGTTATAATAAACTGAGTGGTATTGAGGGCTAGTGGTTCATACTGTGGCCGCGCGTGTGTGTGTGTGTGTGTGTGTGTGTGTGTGTGTGTGTGTGTGTGTGTGTGTGTGTAAAACAACTGACAGATTAAAGACATGTAAAGAGTTTATGTTATATATCTTGTTCGACATTTTAAATGTCTCTTTAATATATGTCCCGTCGTGTCTTGTCTGAGTGAATATCGGTCCTAAAACACGCATCTTATCTGAAAACTCAATGTGTTTTAAGTCTATAATACTCTAAGTTGATTTTGTACGCATATACATAAACAAACATGGTACAGGAATAGGTCCGGATGCTAGAAATTTTCAAAGGCCCACCATAAGCGAGCAGGATACACGCCCACCATAAGCAAACGGGATACACGCCCACTATGGGCGAGAGAGAGCAGGATATACGCCCACTCATATGAGCAGGATATACGCCTACCTATATGAGCAGGATACACGCCCACTATAAGCGAGCAGGATACACGCCACCACAAGGAGCAGGATACACGCCCACCATAAGCGAGAGCAGGATACACGCCCACCATAAACAAGCAGAATATACGCCCAATTATAAGCGAGAGCAGGATACACGCCTACCATAAGCGAGCAGGATACGCCTACCATAAGCGAGAGAGCAGGATACACGCCCACCATAAGCGAGCAGGATACACGCCCACCATAAGCGAGCAGGATATACGCCCACCTATAAGGCGAGAGCAGGATACCCACCATAAGCGAGCAGGATACACGCCCACCATAAGCGGCAGATATATGCCCACCATAAGCGAGTTATAGATACACGCCTACCATAAGCGAGCAGGGATACACGCCCACCTGCGCTGAGCAGGATACACGCCCACCATTAGCGCGAGCAGATACACGCCCACCATAAGCGAGTGTGATATACCGCCCACTCATAAGCAAGCAGGATATCACCTGGCCCCACAAAGCAGATACACGCTCACCATAAGGCTATGACACACGCCCACCATAAATACCAGCAGAATACACGTGCCCACCATAAGCGAGCAGGATACACGCCCAATTAAGGCGTTAAGGATACACGCCCACCATAAACAAGCAGAATACACGCCCACCATAAGCGTTGCGACACACGCCCACTATAAGCAAGCAGGATACACGCCCACCAAGCAAGCAGTGACACACGCCCACGATAAGCAAACTGGATACACACTCACCATAAGCTGCAGGTGATACATGCCCACCAGCAAACATGCAGAACACACGCCCACTTATAAAACAAGCTGGATACACGCCCACCATGAGAAAAGAGGATACACACCCACCATAAGAAAAGAGGATACACGCCCACCATAAACAAGCCGGATACACACCTGCACTATAAGAAAAGAGGATACACCTACCTTATAAGAAAAGAGGATACATTGCTCACCATAAATAAGCTGAGATACATCACCAAATTGGCAAGAAAAAAGAGGATATACACCTTACCTGCAAGAAAAGAGGATATACTGCCTACTATAAACAAGCTGGATACATACTCACTAAGGGCAAAAAGAGGATACACACTACTTATAAATAGCAAGAGGATACATAATTTACTCATAAAATAAGTTAAGGTACCACCATAAGTAGTAAGAGGACACACACTTCAATTATAAGAAAAGAGGATACACGCCTACCATAAAGAAAAGAGGATACACGCCCACTATACAAGAAAAGAGGATATACGCCACCATAAGAAAAGAGGATACACGCCACTATAAGAAAAGAGGATACACCCACTATAAAACAAGCTGGATACACACCCACCATAAGAAAAGAGGATACACGCCCACTCATAAGAAAGAGGATACACGCCTCAATTTGCAAACAAGCTGGATACACGCCACCATAAGAAAGAGGATACACGCCACCATAAGAAAAAAAAGAGGATACACGCTCACCATAAACAAGCAAGCTGATACACGCCCACCATAAGAAAAGAAGAGGATACACGCCCACCATAAACAAGCTGGATACACGCCCACCATAAGAAAAAGAGGATACACACCCAAATTTGGTAAGAAAAGAGGACAGCACGCCCACTATAAACAAGCCGATACACACCTACCATAAGAAAAGAGGATACACAATTTCACCATAAGAAAAAGAGGATACACACCCACTAGCAAGAAAAGAGGATACACCCAATTATATAAGAAAAGAGGATACACACCTACCATAAGAAAAGAGTGATACACGCCCACCATAAGAAAAGAGGATACACGCTCA